AAAAAAAAAAAAAAAAAGGAACCGGACTGACGTGTCCTTCGGGACATCCGTTGAAATTGGAAGGATACAGAGAAGATTAGCATGGCCCCTGCGCAAGGATGACACGCATAAATCGAGAAATGGTCCAAATTAAAAAAAAAGAAAAAGAAAAAGGAACCGGACTGATGCTCCCCAGAATGGATATGGAGCCAGGGCCACTCGGATTCGAACACTGACTGGAAGACACACCTTTACACTGGGAACCGCCAACTGATGCTCCCCAGCATGGGAAAGGAGCCAGAACCTCAAGGTTCTGTTTTTTTTTTTTTGTAACCAAAACAAGAAAGGAAAAAAGAACTGTGAGTCACCTTTAAACAGAGTAAACTGAGATTTGGAACTGAGACTTCACCTTGTACTCGCAGTGTCCTCAGATTAAGCTAGGGAGGCTCAGCTGCCCCCCAACACTGGAGCCAAACTAATAGCATCTCTCTGAAGCTGCTAAGCTACATAAACACGAGCCCTCTCAAATGCAACTGATGGTTATCGACTGAGTCAAAAGAACCAGAGGAAAGGTGCCAGTCCCAATGTAAACTATCAAGTAAAGACCAAGTCATCAGTCCCAAAAAACTGAATGTGAACTTCTTTTAGGCCCCAGTCCAAATGGAAACGTTAAGGTCCCAGTCCCATGGAAACTTTGAGGTCAGTTGCACTGGGATAGTGGGACTGGGACCCTGATCCCGTAAAAGAACACATACCGAGCATGCAATTTCCCTCCGGGTCTAAGCAGCCTACAATGTACACTAAGGACTGAATTTGCCTCCCTTCTCACCACCGCATCAGATTCTACCTATTGGCACATAAATACAAGTACCCTGACTTGAGCATAACTCAGTGTAAAATGCCCCATTTCCTTTTTAACACAGCTTTACAAATCTCCCCTGACCATTCTAAGCGCCAAAATTTAGGTGCGAAAACTGGTTATAACACTGCAGCTTTACGCTGTTTATGGATTCCCATGAACTGCATGTATACCCAGCTGTAACGGCAACAAAAAAAAAATCTCAAAGTGCTTCAAGATTTAGGCGTCGAATGCCGATTGTGTTTGCGGTTTCCAGACTCAGAAAGTCCATTGGAACTGAAAACAAGCCTCTGTCAAAGTACCCCGCCGCGCATGTGGCTGACTGGACCAGACTGGTACACCCTTCAAACCATGGATAAACTGACCTGAGTTCGAATCCTGAAGGAAATTCAAGGAATCAGATTTGCCCTGGGGTCAGTCAGTTCGCTGAGATTATTTGTCAAAGCCGTCGTCCTCAGAAAAAATGGACAGGCCTTTATGGAAGTGGCGACAACAGTGTGTGTGCCTCAGCATCGTCTCGCTCGAAAAGGCGTCGTCACCAACGAACAGGTTTGCACCACGTGACTTGATCCGATACTACCGAATAGTACCGATAGACTGATCAGCAGTAATTCATCCTCCAGGCGCGGTGAGACGTAAATCCAACAAAAGGGATTTCTTCTTGATCTCTTTTCCCCTTGCTCAAGACCTCCTCACCGTATCTGTGCTTATGTGTGACCACGCGCGAACACACACACACACACACACACACACACACACACGATTTTTGTTGTGAACGTGCCATAATATACACACACAGCCACACAAGCACAACCACACACACACAAGCGCACACACACACACACACCCATGCCTCCTCAAGAGTGACACAGTGATGGGGTGACCTTCTTGCCGTAATCGTTCCATGTAGTGTCCCCATCCTGTATCCAATGAAGAGCGCAAAGAAGAAAAAGAGTGCATTTTTGGAATAGGAAGGATCATCAAGCAACCTACTTAGTGCCGCGGTCACGCAGGAAGTGCCGGGAGCCCCAGAGCCTGGTCTTCTGCTTCTAGCCCCAGGACCCAAACAACCATCACTTGTCCATCATCCCAGCACCAGGAATAAGAAGGGACAAACAGGATGGCAGGAACCCACAAAGTGGTTAACGAGGACCCCCACTTTCAGCTCCCCAGTAATCATGAACCAGGTCCAGGGTTATGAACCACGCCCAGGGTTATGACCAGGTCCAGTGAGCCACCTGCTGCTGAAAAGGAGTTCCAGAGCCTGGTCTTCTGGTGCTTCTGTTCCCACAAGACCAACCGTGGACCCAGCACCAGGAATCCGAAGCGAGCAAGAACATGGCAGGACTATCCGACTAGGTGCAGGGTAATGAAGCGTTGTAGTGATCGATGGATTCAGTGCACGGAACCTGAGTTGAGGACCAGGTGAAAGGAACCTGAGTGCAAGGATTGACTCACGGCCAAAGGGCGAAGCAAAATACGAGTATCTCTTCCCGGTGAATGAGCAGCGAATGGAATAGGAAGGAAGAACGATGTACCGATTTGACAGACTGCAGGAGAGAAGTGATTGCACCAACAGCAATACAGAACAGCAATGCTGAGTCCAGAACGGTTACCCTGAATAGCAAATTCGTGAAGGTAAGGAGCGCCGTGCAGACGCAGGAGCAGTGGCAGGAAATCACTGGAGAGTACCAGAAGCGTGAGCAGGAGGGCCGTCACCACAGAGACAGGGCCAGGAGCAGGAGCAGGAGCAGGAGCAGGAGCAGGAGCAGGAGCTGCAGCAGGAGCATAACCAGCACTTAACAGCCTGAGAACAGAGCTGATCAGCTCCATTGACAAGGCTGCATCTTCCTTTTGGTGATGTTTTAATTGAAGCAGTGATCGATTGACTACCCTAGTCATCGATTGATTAATCACTCAAGCCTCATCATTGAGGTATGCTGATTACATGTATCGATATGTGCATTAAGCTCATAACCTCTCTCTCTCTCTCTCTCTCTCTCTCTCTCTCTCTCTCTCTCTCTCTCTCTCTCTCTCT